GTTGCGAAAACAAGGTCAAAGAACTTCTATTGATCGTACCTTAACGAAATCCTCCAAACTGAGGGTGTCAGACACTGCTTGTCTATAAGAGATGTCTATGTTTGGTTTAGTTATAACCGAAGAATATAATAAAGAAATTTGCTAAGGAAAAAGGGTGGGATAGAGGAGGCGAGAAACAGGAAAACTTGACTTAAACACCATTGGCCGTTACCAATGAAAGAGTTATATTAAAGGGTTTAACCGGTATCCTAGCAAGGAAGTCTAGAAATGATATTGAGTCACAGTATTTTCTCATAATTGATAGCTATTTTGATATACCAATTAAAAATATGAAGGTCATCAACATTTAAATGCGACTTAGACAAAATGACAACATAATTTTGAGCTCAGATTACACAAAGGCAATTGTAGTAAAGGATAGGTCAACTATGAAACGTTTAGAATTCTACAGGGACAGAAGGAGAATCGCTTTGGCGTTTTAGCTGTAGGCTTGAGCATATAAGTCATTGGTGCATTGATCCGCGACCCTGAAGAGTCTATACTAGGTTTTCATTGGTCATGTGACGGAGATCGTCAGGATGAGAAGCCAATATTCACTAAATTTTACCAAGTGCTTGGCTTCTTAACAAGCTTACGGTTACATTGAGGCCAAGTTTACGGTTTACGATGAGGTCAATTGACGAATCTCTTCTATCCGAACGAAATGGAGCTTATAAAAACATGTATTTACTGAGAGATTCTTTGAAATCCCGTTTATCTTTCCATCTCCAATACATTAATAACGCATGTATATGGCACGATAAAACATGATGTCGGCAGTACACTCAGAATTTGTTTTGAAACTATGGAAAATTCAGTCGACAGTCTTCGCCTAATGTGTTCACAACTCGATCTCATTGTTTCTGTTGACTTGGTGACAAGGAAGGTGCTGTCACTTCAAGCAGACTTTTGAGAAATATTATTATTGTTTCGAACTCGTTTATCAACTTTGTCGTGTTGTAAGATTAACCTAAATGAATGTACTAATATCGCATCATTGACTTGGAGGATTCTAAGACATTTTTCATGGTTGCATACCAAAATCTCTGTACCGCTAGAAGCCAAAAGGATTGAACAGAAAATTGATCAATAAGATGATGTAGCCTCTATTTTGGTTGCAGTCTTCTTTCGCAGTATAAAAGTGTTTTAACTTTTTTTGTATTTATAAGTATGGTTTCGAGACTACCACATCTCATATAACTGTTTTGATTTTGTTTTATCAACATATTCTGGTTGTCAAGGTGATCTGGATGAAGGCGTACTGTACCGAGTCCACTGCAGAAGTGGTAATGATAATTTATGTTTTCGTACTATGGACTAGACACATTCTCAGAGGCTTCGCCGACATCCATACCTGAAATTATCATGACCACTATGGCAGGGGATCTGGGGCAGGGTGCCCTCATCTTAGCCGTCCTGACAACATGGCCAGGTTTCGAAATCGAGGTCAAAACAAAAAATGGGTCTCTTGCCATTTTGGCCAATTGCAACTCTCTGCTAAGACTGACGCCTCTGAGCGATGAAGCCGGTGAAAATTCTATGAGTGTAGCAAATTGCCAAGACGGCAAACAAGCCTAGGGCCACACCATCTTGTCCTTAGTTCCGTTTAAGCCTCGTCGGTAATGTTGAATGGGTCGGAGAACAATTCACGCCTAGGACATGCAATGGGCTCCAGTCTGTGCGTTGCATACTCTTCGACCCGCGGCCTGGCTTGAGGCAGGCGAGCTTTGCGCCGCGGCGCAGTCACACCATTTGCGGTCGTCTCAATCGCCTGACCGACTGCTCTGGCTTCAAGGTGCCTGGTCCGTCGGGCAGACAGCCACGCCATTTGCCTCACCTGCTGACGGGCGTCAGCAGTCACTCTGGCCTAGCGTGTGCCAGGGCCGTCTGTGCACGAGTGTGCACGGCAGGCACAGGCCGGCGGGCCCCAGACGAAGGGTGAACTGCAGCCGCGGCGGCCGCTGCCGTCGCCGATCCTAAGACGATCGATTTTGGCGGACCGACAAGCGTAGGTGATTAGGCCGTTTGGAGGGCTCCTCTACCGCCTTGTCGCTCCGACCCGACTGACCGCGTGCGCGTGCGCACGTACGCAACGGCGTGCGTGCGAGTACGAGAGCCCGGATCTATTGAGGCACCGCTTGCAACGCCTTCTGTCTATCTATGCACGCATGTGTGTGCGTGTCTAACGCTGTGCGGACAGGAAAGCAAACAAATTCAGACCCACATATAAAGGCATTGGTGTTTTCCTTACTCGCTTCACTCAGGCCGCCTCTACTTAGCATTGACTGCCCTTTTCTCCAATTTGGCCTTTTCTTGTGTCAATCCGCAATGGCATTTATCCAATTTCCTTGCCGCATCGAGGCGTGGAATTGTCCGTCCCGGAAACACTTTGTACCCGTCGAGTTGACTCCTTTGGCTTGGTTGTGCTGTGAAGAGCGCACTCGCCGACAGAAGCGAAAAGGAGGAGTTCGAGCCCAGATCGAGGCCCTTCGAGGCAGTCATTTTCGGGCCCAGTTTTCGCATCAAGCGGAATTGTGAGGCGATTTCGAAGAGCTCATTTGTTCAGAAACAGACGGCGTTGCAGCAGTGCTTTCGTTTCCTGTTCAGCACCGTCGCCATCGCTGATCGGAGCCTGGTAAGCTTGGCCAACACCTCCTCTGGCCGTGGTGAC